CCAGTTTTCTATCCACCTCACAGTCCGTTCATCCAACCCGTACTTCCTTAGCTTGCCTGACAGAATATTTTGGGAGACTGCATCAAAAGCCTTGAGAAAGGCAAGGTATATCATATCCACTGCTCTCCCCACATCCATAGAGCCAGTCATCTCCTCAGAGATTTCCTGAGGACCTGCTCCAAGATTTTTCCAGGGACTGAGGTAATGCTTACCAAAATGGAGGTGCCTGGATCCTCCTCCTTCCCTTTCTTAAAGATGGGCACTATATTTACCTTTTTCCAATCATCCATGACCTCCCCCCGATCACCACGAGTTTTCAAAGAAAATGGACAGTGGCTCTGCAATCGCATCAGCCAACTCCCTCAGCAACCTTAAGTGAATCACATCCTATGGAAATGTACATATTCAGGTTTTCTATATAGTCCCTAACCTATTCTTTCACCACTGATGGCTGATCACCTCCTCCTCAAACTGTACTGTCAGGTGCAGCAGTCTGGGAACACAAGGCATTGAATACTTCAGCCTTTTCTGCATCCTGTCACTAGGTTGCCTCCCTCATTTAGAAAAGGACCCACACTTTCCCTGATCTTCCTCTTGTTGCTGACATACTTGTAGAAACCCTTCTTGTTACCCTTCACATCCCTTGCTAGCTACAACTGCAACTGTGCTTTGGCCTTCCTGATTTCATCCCTGACTTCCAGAGCAATACTTTTACACTCCTCCCTAGTTATTTGTTTAAATTTCCACTTTTTGTGTTTTAACTTACTGAAGACTTCCTGCTCAGCCACACTGGTTTTCTGCCATACTTGCTAATCTTCCAGCACATCAGGATGGTTCATTCCTGAACTCTCAGCAGTGGTGTAGCATGGGTCTCCAGCTCCTGGGGGCCAATGCTTACATTTGCACCCATCCCCCCTCCACAGCCAATTGCCGAGCAGGGGAGGAGGGTGTCCCCCGGCAGCTGATCACTTTGGGGAGGGGGGCAGTGGCCAATAGCCAAGCCCAGAAGTGCCGGCAGCAAAACTGGAAGTGCTGGCAAGGGAGCAAGCATCCCCTGGAGGGCCTGGCTGGCACACCCCCACAAGCCAGAACCCAGGGACATGCCCCCCAACACCATCGCTACACCACTGACCCTCAGTAAGGTTTCTTTAAAGTACAGCTAACTGCTAGATTCCTTTTTAATTTATGACAAATAAACCCCCCCCTAAAATAAAACTGTCTACACAATCTTCTAGACTGGTTAAAATACATCAATATAAATTACTCCTTAAATTAATTCAGTGCAACTTTCTCATGTGGACAAACCAGTGCTCAGTTCTATACCTGTAAGATTTTAGCCATGTGCCTCAATTGTGCAAACAAGCAGCCTGACTTTCAGCCATGGACAGTCCCAATGGTTTTAATTTAACTAGTAATCATGGTGTCAAAGTTAAATAAAGGTGTAAGTATTTGCAGGATTGATAGCTTACAAGTCACTATTAAGGTATGCTCAAAAAAGGTTCTGAATGCATGTATTATAAGACGTAATCTTAAAATAAAATGTGGTTGAAAACAGGCTGTTAGAAACTTACAGAAAGCAAGAAAAAATATGTTATCATTCTTGTGTCTGCAACTGTCAGTTCCTCTCTCTAGACCTTTGCTTTAACATAATTTTTAACCACAAATCTTTCTTGCTTCCATTCTTAAAAATCTGTTTTTCAACTGTGTTCTGCTCTTTTTAGTGTCTGTGCTCCAATATCCAAAAAGAAATGGAAATAGTCCAACTGACTAAAATAGAAGCTGAATCAGTCCTTGAAATGGTTTTGGGAGGTAATAATTTGATTTATCAAACTGACATGATTGATCAAGATTCAATATAGCTAAAACAGCATCTTGACTAATTGATCATTTATTGTAAACTTCAATCAAGAGCATGTAATCAACAGCAGAAATAATTAGCATGCATTAGAACTAGCTGATGGCATAACACAAGGTTTAAATATAACCTATGGTATTTCAGAAATATTTTAGCTATCTAGCACACATATTGTAACAAAAGCTACATATCAAAACCACTTTTGCATGAATCTTGTTTCAGACTCTCTCTAACGCTCTGTCTTCTGGAAACAGAGGAAATCTTTTTTTTTTCTTCTACCTTTCCTGCTATATTTAAAGCAAATTCTTCTTTACTATTATTGAACAGCAAAAATGCAAGTGAATGTTCTTTACTGCTAAAAGCATTCATAAAAAAAAAAAAAAAAAATGAGCATCCGCTTAGGAACTGAATGATTCTGGATAATTCAAAAATAAAATTAAAAATAAAAACCCCAAACATCCTTATATTTCTGTTTGAGGAATTTCCAACTAAGTATATAAAGAATAGATGTGGATGGCATGCAGAATTATACTTTGAAAAATAACAGCTTAAGTAGCAGCACAAAAAAGCATTTAGTGTATTTTTTAATTTAGTCTCACGAACTATGAGCTAAATTTTGATTTTTCATTATACGGTGCAATCCCTTTGGGGCTAACAAGGCTTTGTAAGCATATTCAAAGCCAAAAGGTTTCCTTCTGTATTCTATAAACACTGAGACAATCTTATGAACAACATGCAATATGTTCAAGTATTAAGCTAATAGCCAAAGCACCCACAAACCAAAACTAAAATAACATAATTTGTCTACAGCCTCCTTGACGATATATAAATAACAAGTTTCAAATGACTAAGAGGAAAAACACAGCTGTAGCACTTCCACAACATCTGCTTTTGCAATTTTGTGTCATGCATGAGAAAGTTATATCCACAGAGCAGAACATACACTACTAATTTACAAGCTAAAAAGCAAAGTCCGGGAAAAAAAGCTGTTCTCCAAGTTTGATAATTAACATAATAAATATTATATGCATATTCTACTAAATTCCTTTTGTATGCCAATTCCCTTAAACAAATATGGAAATCATGGTGTTTACAGTCCAAGTATCGTATAGTGAAACTAGTAAATAGTTTCGATTTCCACTAGAGGGCACTGTCATCTAATGAAGACTACCATCTGCTTTCCTGCCACCTCACAAACCTGAAAGAAAAAAATAACACTTAGCATTTGCAAAGCATCTTTCATCTGAAGTTCTGAAAAATTCACTTATAGTTATAAAGCACTTGCAATACTCCTAGGTAGTAAGAAAACAAACTACCTTACTCACACACATGCAAGATTAGATTTGTAAATGAAGGATTGTGAGCATTAAACAAAACCAGATTCCAACAGTTCATACAACAAGAAATCTTAAAGCAGTCCATCACATTGTAGCCTGTAAGAGTGATCATCCAAAGCTTTCCTGGCTGCTAAAAATAGGCAAGAGTTCCTGACTCTCATACTTACAGAAGTCAATAACTCCTGGGAAGATGGCAATTTATCAGCTTTGGAAAAATCCAAGTATTCAGATCTGTATTCTCACAATATGAACCTCCCCAACAGCTGCCAATGTCTATTTTGTCATTTCTGAGAGAACTGCTTTAACTGTTTAAAACTGTTTCAGTTGCCTTTATACAAGAATCTGTTAAATAAACAACTTATGTTCTGAGGGTTGTTAGACAATCTCGTCATAGCCATGGATATCTACCTAGTTTGTCATGCAACTCTGTCTCTAGAATTTCAGAGAGTCAAACACAAAATCCTAATAATTTGTCTTAGGGTCTGTGCAGTTATAGGTAAATGACACTGAGATTGTGAGGAAGAACAGAAGTGGATGCTGCATCTAGATAGCTCTGATGAACAACCGCACCTCTCTCTGTCTTCTAAACTCTCACCTGCGGTGTCCCACAGGCCTCAGTCCCTGGTTCAACACTGACATTTAATATTACAGACCATGCTGACACACCCAACTATCGCAACACAGAAGAGAAATCAGGAGGCAGACAACGACTGGCTAACTATCCCCAAATCCATGGAATCCAAAAGCAGGCAAAACAAGCAATGTTTTGAAGAGAAGGAGGCAGGCAGACAAGGTTCTTTGGGCAGATGTGATTTTTTTTTTAATTGGTCTAATAAAAGAAGTCACATCTACCCAAAGAACCTCGCCTGCCTTTGTCCTTAGATCAACATACCTACAACCAACAACCCTGCAAAGAGAAGGAGAAAGCGTCCTGGAGAACTACCAGGCTGTCCCCCATTAGAGGACGGTGGCCCCCCAGTCCAAGAGCGAGAGTTGGGTGCAGACCACTCCGTGTTACTGGACTCTTTAGACCAGGGGTTCCCAAAGTCTGTGCGCCCAAGGGCACATTTGAATTTAAAAGAAAAAGCAGCAGGCACCAATATGAATATTGAAGTTTAGAATTTATATCAATCCGATCATCTCATCCATTACTTAAAATTGCATTAGATCCGCAACTTCAAAATACAGCTTCCCTTTACTTTGTATTCTTTTGAAGTTTTATCCAGAGCACCCAGGGACACCCCACTGGGAACTGGCGCTTTAGGCTGTGTCAGTAAGTGTCTGCGTAAGGGCTGCAAATCTTTCAAGTGCTTCAGCTTCCCCACCTACCTCCAGCAAAGCAGAAGCCAACTCCTCTAAGCTCCTGGCACTTGCTCGCAAGCCCCTCCTCTGTTTCAAGACTGAGGCCCCAGGTTTTGCACAGCTCCAGGTGGTTTCTCTGCACAAGCACGGACCTTCATGATGGCCACGGCATCAGAGTACCCTCCGTTCACAGCAAGTGTCACTGTCCACCCAAATCAACCCCCCACCGCTCCCAGCTCCCGAAAGGCTGCATCCAGATGCAGCTGTGAGACTGTTTCAAGGCTGTACAGTACCAAGCTGGGGCTGCCATGGCACCGTCAGCTGTCAGCCCACAGGGCTCAGGGCCGCCTGGCTCAGACCAGCCCTGCTGCCTGCCCCTGGCAAAGCCCCACGTCTTGCCTCCGTGCCCTTCACCTCACTCACATTTTGCTTGTACTGAAACCAGGGGCAGAAGAGAAGCTCCAGCTGCAGCCCAGGGCCCTGCTTTTACTGGCGGCATTGCTTACCCACTTGTCAAGCGGGACCTGTGCCAGGGAGCCGGTGCCCTGGTAGAGGTCCAGGCTGAGCTGCTCCAGGCTGAGCTTCTCCTGCAGGAAGTGGCCGAGGTAGCGCTGCAGCAGGTAGCGGCAGGCCCGCTTCTTGATAGACTCGGAGAAGGGCCACGGCATGGCGGCTGCGGCCGGGGGCTGCTCGGCCCCGCTCGGCGCCAGGCTCCGCCGCCCCTCAACGACAGCGACAGCGACAGCGCGCGGTCTCGGCCCGCCCCATCCTCACACCGATACCGAAACCACCGCCGTCATTCTCTCGGCCCCGCGCGTCGCCCCTCCCCCACACCTAACCTGCCCGCGCGCCCCCAACGCCACCCCCCCAACCCCGCATCGACCAGCGGTGACGTGCGCAAGAGCGGAAGTGACATCACAGCACGGGGGAGGAGCGGCGGAAGTGAGCCGCGGGTGGGTGGGGATGAGGCGGAAGTGGGACGTCAGACTTTTCAGACGGCGTCCGGGCGTGGAGGCGTGAGGTGTGTGTATTCTGCTCTCCTTCGCGCCGAAGGGCCTTACAGACCCACCCGGGGAAGGGGGGAACCTCGGAGCTCCTGCGTGTGAGCGTCTCGTGGTAGAGCAGGCTGGAGCCGGCAGGGGCTGCTTCGCGAGCTGCTCCGGCAAAGTCCAGCGGGGCTCGAGAACTGGGGCTGGGGTGATGCGGCCCCGCCGGCCTGGAAACGCGCCGGGCCCTGGCCAACAAAGAGCTGTTGTTACGGGCGTGTTGCCTTAAGCTTAGCTAATCTGCTTGGCTCCCGGAGCGAGTCTCGGCTTGTAAATAATCTATTAGTCACTTTCCTTTTTGGCAGCGACCGGGGTGGGTTTGGCTGCAGGCAGCATTTGGTTGTGTAGCACACTGAGGACCGGAGGGATCTTGTTTAAAGCTAAATCCTGATGTTTGGTGGAGAAGTGAGGCTGGGAGGGATTGCTGGTGATCGTCTTGTCTGACCACGGGTTCAGCCTGCGACCTTGGCACCAGACTCTAAGAGAATGACCTAATCCAGCAGCTGAGTGTGACTAAAATCGGGAGTCCCTGAAGAGCCAAGGGGAGAGGGGGGAGTGATTTAGTGAGCTAGACAGGGACTTTGTGGCTTAATCTGAATGGCTTATTGAACAAAACTGTGGCCCCTGAAAGATCTGATTGACCTTTGTTTTCTACGAGACGTGTCCCTGGCAGAACTAGCTGGTGTCAGAGTGTGTCTGTTTGCTTATTGCATTGTTCATGGTGCAGAGTTGGTTTTATGGACTGATGACACTAAACATGGGGTTTCTGCTTGCAGAATGGAGATGGATCCCATGGAGCTGTCCAACAACACAGAGTTTGAAGAGGATTCTGAATATAAGGACTTTGAAGGAACTGATGTGAAGGATATGAGACTAGAGGCAGAAGCTGTTGTGAACGATGTACTGTTTGCTGTCAGCAACATGTTTGTGTCAAAAAACCTTCCCTGTGCAGAGGATGTAGCATATATCAACGTGGAAACCAGGGAAAGGAACAGGTATTGCCTGGAGCTCACAGACGCAGGACTTAGGGTAACTTTGTTTGTTTATCCTTTATAAAGCTTCTTTGTTTAAAATAGACATGAGCTGAAAGGAATCTAATAGAGGATCTCTGTCACCAGAGCAGTGTAATCTTTTCCCCTTCTGCCTGTTTCTGACAATCTGTTTTATGCTTTCATGCCTCCCTAGGAAGCTGAACTAATCACTTTTTCCCCAAATTAAGGGAGGAATACAGGAAGCAAGTGTTTTGTTTTGTTTTTTAAGAACCTGTGCAGACCAGTTAGGGTGGTAGCTGATGCTGGAGAAGCTTGCTGACTTCCTGTATTTCAGTCTTTGGGTCCCATAGCTAATAAATGCAGAAGGTGTTGAGAAATGCATAATATTAAGCTACTAAACACCTTGACAAAAAAAGTTGCAATTTATTTCTCTAAACTCAAATATTTATTTCTGTGCATGCAGCTGCTGTTCAGGTAATTTAAACTGCTTGGGTAAATATCTGTCTTAAGGATTTTCTCCAAAACACTGATAACCCAGTGTTTATTAGTATCCTCAATCTTTGAGGAAGGTGGGGAGAGGGGAATATATTGGAGACCGATTTAATTGAGTGATTACCAAGGTCCCAGGTAGAAAAGGTCTTTGTGTTTAATATACTAATGGGTTTGGTTAAATTTTGTGATTCCCTTATGTTTCCTGTCATGATATGACATTTATTTCATGAGGAAAATGTAATGCTGGTCTCCTTACTGCAGGTGGTGGGCTATGCTTTTGACCAGGCTGATGATAACTTACAAACTCCATACCATGAGACTATCTACTCCTTATTGGACACTCTTAGCCCAGCATATCGTGAAGCTTTTGGAAATGCACTTCTGCAAAGACTGGAAGCTTTGAAAAAGGATGGGCAATCATGATTCAAATGATGATGAACATCTCTTGGGGAAGGTTTATTACGTGTAGGATTTCTTAGTAAGAGGTACAGAGATGTTTCTTAAAGTTATCCTAAGCTTCAGTTTTGTACTGGTTTTTTTTTTTTTTTGTATAAACTTCTAGGCTTTTATCTTGCAGTAAGACTTACCTGAAATATTGCTACAGTGGATCTGTATAGATAACAAAGCCATTTATGCTATCTTGAATTGAGATTGGAGCCTTTTTTTAGTTTAATTTTTACTATTGATAATTAGCTAAAATGACTTGCCTTCTACACAATTTGAAGAAATTTGATCTCTTTGCAATGCACTATTACTAATTAAGATATTTCTTAACTGATACTCTTTAAATCTTGATACCATGTATGAAAGTGTTACTGCTTTCATTATTGTAACTCACCTAAACATTGATAAAAGAATATATGAAGTTCTGAACTACTTGCTTTAGCTAATTAATGTGAATTGCTGTTCTGCTGAGAATAAAATTCTCAGCACAATTTTCTGTGCCCAGCCCTGGAAGTTCATAGCTTCATTGACAGAACGCACAACTTTTACCAACATTCTGTATCAAAGAGTATGTAGTATCAGTGTCTGAATTTAAGGGCAAGACCCAGTGTTGTTCAGTGTGCCTGTGTATGCCACAAACTTTAAGATGAACTGTTGGCATACGAATATGTCATCAGAATCAAAAACAAGCACAGGAGTAAGCCAGGATGTAACAGGCTATACTTAAAAACAACTTAAATCTGCTATAATGAGATGTTCTGTGGGTTTTGGAACATTTAGGTCCATTTACTACTCCAAATGCACTTTTACATTATGTACAGCATAGCTTTTTTGCTTTGGGTTTTACTTGCTGTAATGCAGTACTTCAGCTTTTCCCATGTTTCTTCTTCCTCTTTATCTGTATAGTGTCCTGTCTTAAAGAACAGTAAGTATGCAATGTAATGTTGCATTGCATGTTTCACATAGCCTTTGCTTTTGAATCCAATGTTGAACTGGAAAACCATTACCTATATTTTCTATCTTGTAACTAGAGCACAACTCCTTACAAGCTTTTTGTGCTACTGTAAGTTTTGAAGTGCATATTGAATAATAGACTAACTAAATACAGCTCATCTAAGGTACCAGTACTATGGAACTAACATTCTGTAATATCATACAGTTTGTGCATTATTCAGTGTTTTATGCATCTCTCCAAGTATTTCTGTTTGTTCTTTCAAGCTAGGAACAAAGTGAATGCGACTAGAGAGAGAGAGGGTTAGATCAGCTGGTACAAGCAAAAATACTCCAGAGACTTCTGTGGCATTAGACTTATTTACACCAGCTGAGACTAATCTCTTTAATTGGAAGGATTAATTAATGTAGTTGTGCATTTATTATAGTGTTCATAGGCGGTGCTTATAATTATGACTAAGAAGACGCCTACAGTCTGTTTCTGCATTCAGGTGCTTTAATTTTAATGTTTTCATTGAATTTTTTGTTTTAAGTCAAAACATTTCATGTTAATCTGCTTTAAGGTTAATGTATATTCTCATGCTTTAAGAGTTGTTCAGATGTTTTTGCACAGTTTTGTGGCGTGTGCTTACTCCTCTGTGAGGAAAATGTACTCTGCCATGTTTATATCTGAATAATTTTACAACCGATGTACCTGCTTTGTATTATTTCAATGATTAGGATAACTAAATAAATGCACAAACATGTGTGGTCAGCTTTTTCTTCTTGTGAAATAAATTTTACTTAAGTTGTGCATATTTAAACATACTTAACTGCAAGTCTGAGTAAACAAACAAGACCTGTAGTGGTTTTGTATACCAGCATCTCAATGCTTTAAAGTAACTGCTGAATAGAATAGTGATATATGACAATAGAAAAAGGGGTAATGTAGGGGAAAGCTTTAGAAGCTCACAGGCAAATTTCAAAAGCAGTAGTGGATGATAGTAACTCTTCGACATCCAGTAAAATGTATATGGAAGAAGAGTGAAGTGAATGAACTCAGCAGTAAACCACAAAAGTATTTTAAAGAAGAAACAAATTTTCTGTAAACAGCTGAGTAAGAAACAAGACTGATATACTGTAAAATAATCTTAATCCTTAATCATTACACTTAAAACTAGGTTCATGAATAGATGTGCTGTCACTTTAAATTCAGATTAATTACTTCTAAGACTCAAATTAGCAGTGTCTAATCATCTAATGAGTCAGTGCTGTAGGATAACTCTTCAAAAGCTGTTCAGTAACATTTGGAAGAATGCAGTTGTCAACGGTGCAGTTATTCAGACACACATACAGATGGTGCGGTGCCCTCCTCATGACTGCTCTGTATTGTTTGAACTCCACTTATGGTTGGAATGCTGCTGCCAAGGAGGATATACCAATTCAAGAGCCGCAGACGCATAGCTGTTAGGGGCTGGAAGGGACTTCCTGCAATCATGAGGTCCTGCCACTCTGCAGTTGGGCAGGGAAAACTGCTGGGATCAGATGCCCCCCAGCAAGGTGCACATCAAGATGTTTTCTGAATAGCTCCAGGGTAGGGGACTGTGCCAGCTCTGGGAGGAGTCTGTTCCAGACCCTCCGCACTCAAATTGTAAAGTTTTCCTCACTTCATCTGCATAGTGAAAATATATGAAGTTGTAATGGGATAGACACAACACCTCAAGGTAACTGAATTCTTGAGGGGAGCAGGAGCTTGGTGAACAACCGTTCGCTAGGGCACCTTAGGGAAGACCAGGGCTAATGGATACAAACTCCTGGAAGGCTGCTTCAGGCTTAATACCAGGAAAAACTCCTTCACAATTAGAGCGTGAAATAAACTCCCAGAGGTGGTGCAGTCACCTACCCTGGAGGTTTTTAAGCAGAGATGAGACAGTCACCTCGCTGTAGTCCCCTAACCCCAGTTGTCTTCCTGCCTAAAGCGGGGAAGGGCAGGACCTGAGGATCTGCGGGGTCCCTTCCAGCCCCTGACAGCCTATGAATCGCATGCACTGAAGTTCAAGTAAGTACCTCGTCGCCCCGCTTTGGACGCCGCTCCGAGCACAGGTCCCGCACGTGCAGCTCAGTACGGTGGATGCAAGTGTTACTAAAGCCTCTCCAGCACCCTGTGAGCGGCGTGTTTCTAGACCCCCCCGCCCGGCTCCGCCTGTAGTTATTGAGGAGCGCTGAACCTGAGAGGAAAGAGCCGGCTCCTGTCCCTCCTCGCGGCGGCTTCTCAGTCCGCTGGGCCTGTGCCAGCTCCTCGCTGCAGTCCACCGGGTTGCGCGGGCAGAGCTCTTCCGCCGCTGCGGCAGGGCAGGGCAGGGGCTCCGCCGCGCCGCTGAGGGGCTGAGTCCCGCTCCCGGCTGCAGCCACTCCGCGCTGTGGCCGCGGCTCCGCCCCCTCCGCAGGGCGGGGCGGGGCGGCCGCCGTCTCCTAGGAACCCAGCGGCTTCCAG